TTTCTCCTAAAAATCCCCAACCCTCTGAGTCATTTTTCAAAGACACACCACCCATCTTTCCTATAAAATCCTTCCCTGTGATGGTGATGACGCCCTGGCATAGGTTGCCCAGAGAAGCTGTGGCTGCCCAATCCCTGGCTGTGTCCAAGGCCAGGCTGGGCAGGACCTGGAGCAGCCCAGCCCAGGAGAAGATGTCCCTGCCCATGGCAGGGCTGGCACCGGATGAGCTTTAAGGTGGCTCCATCCCAAACCATTGCAGAGACCCCGGGGCTGGGATGGGGTGGGGCGGGCACTCGGCAGCACCAGCAGCTCGTGCTGCCACCTGCTGTTGGCACCCGGAACTGCAGGTGGGAGTGGTGCATGGGCAGTGCCACTGATTTCCCGGCGCTCGCTGCTGCCCTCTGTGGACAATTCCTGAACCACAACTGCCACAATCCCCAAATCCCAGAAAGTGTCAGGCTGGACGGACCCAGAGTGAGCACCTGGCCCAACCTCCCATTTCAGCCAGCGTCATTCCTGAGCACAGGATTGGGTCCAGAGCAGCCCATAACAGGACACGGCACTGGGCAGAGCTGGACACAGCATTCCTTATGTGACTCATTGGGCAGGGCAGAGGGGTACAAACACTGCTTCACTCCCTGGGCCTGGCCCTCCTGATGGCCCCTGGATCCCTCTTGACCCCAGGCCAAACAGGCAGCTCCATTGGTCACCCACCAGCACCATCACCTCCTTCTCCACAGCTGCTCCAGCATGTCCCCCCCAGTCAGAGATGGCACTGGTTACTGTCCCTCCCCAGGGACAGGATCTACCCTTTCCCTTTTGAACCTCCCAGTTTCCATCCTTTAAGGTCCCCTGAAGTGCAGGATGTGGCAGGATGCTCTGCCTGGAATGTGGCCAAGAGACAATGCCCCATTTGTGGCCATCAGAGCTTCATTGAGAGTGGTTTGCTGCTGATTTTGTTGCTGAGTGGGGCGAAAACCAGCCCAAATCACCAACCTGGAATTGACAACTGAGGATGAAGCACCAGAGCTGGGCCTGGCTGTCCATCACGTGACCCTGGGAACATTGAGTCCCCTTTCAGACAGAGATTCCTCTCCCCTACTCTGCTTGCAATGAAATGTGTGTGAGGATCCTCCCTTGGGAAGGGGATGCTCCCTAGGGATCCGCCTTGAGGCTGAAAGACATTTTCCAAGATTGTTGCTGTGGGGAGTAACTCGAGCCCTGTTTAGGAATTGTCTCTTTTTGCTGGCTTTGTCAGAATTATATAATGGAATTGTTTTGATAGAAGTATTTATTAGAATTTCTTTGCGCAATGGCCTTGGTGGCCGCACTGGACACGGTGGCTGTGGTAGCCTTGTAGCTGAGGGAGTCTTGGTGATCACGGTGGCCACAGTTGCCACAGCGACCACAGTGACCTTGGTGACCTTGAGGATCCCATGGCTCATTGTCCTGAAGTGTTGTAAAAATGGGGCTTCTGGGGCTCTTTTTCACCAAATACTGTGATACCAAAGGGACTGTTCCTGAAACAATTTCTTTGCACATGTGCTGTTGTTTCCCATTACAGAACTTGCCAAAACTCCACTAGAGTTCCCTTTATCTGTTTCTCCATGGGTTCTAGCTGTGATTTTCATCTTGTGTGCTCACCTCTCCCTTGTTTTATCATTTCTGCCAGTTTGTCTTCAGGTACTGTCCAGCACCTTCAGGGAAGGGAAAATTTCCATTCTCTCTGGTATTTGTCACTTGGTGACAGAAATGCTCTAGTCCTGTCATCATCCATACTGCCAACAAGGATCTCCAGGTCTTTCCTGTTCTGAGGTGCCCAGAATGGGAAAGAGCACTGGGCAGAGCTGGACATGACACTGAGCAGAGCTGGACATGGCACTGGACAGAACTAGAAATAGCCCTGGGAAGAGGTCAACACAGCCATGAGCACAGCTGGAAATGGCTCTGGAGAGAGTTGGGCACAGCACTCCTGATGTGCCTCACTGGGCAGGGAGAGGGACACGATCACTACCTGACTTCCTGGCCTCACTTATCTGAGTGCCCTCCAAATCCCACCTGGCCCCAGGCCACACGGCCAGCTCCATTGGTCACAGAGCAGCACCCCCAGGTCATTCCCCAGAGCTGCTCCAGCAGGTCCCCACCAGCCAGGCAGGGCAGTGGTGCTAATCTGAGCTAAAAACCAGCCTGAACCCTCAGCCCCAAACTGGCAACTGAGGCTGAAGTACTAGACCTGGGACTGGCCATCCATCACCTGACCCTGGCAATGCCCAGTCCCCTCTCAGACAGAAATTCTTCTCCCCTATTCATACTTGGAATGAAATATGTGTGAGGTTCCTCCCTCAGGAAGGGGATGGTCCCCAACAGTCCTCCTCAATGGTGGGAGAAAGGGACGTTCCCACAAGTGTTGGTATGCGGAGTGACAATGAGCCCTGCTTAGGAGTTGTCACTGTTGACTGGCTCTATAAGAATTACTTCAAGGAGTCATTTTGGTAGAATTATTTAATGGAGTTGTTTTGATAGAATCATTTAATATATTTGATTTGACAGAATAATTTAATAGAATTTGAATTGACCAAAATGAAACTTCTGGCCATACTGTGCCTGGAACTGGACATCATGCACACCCCAGAACACGTGGTGACACTGCCCATTCTGAGCATGCCTCAGTGTCACCAGTGCCTGGGTCAGCAGTAAATGCAGCGTTTTGAAGTGGAAGTTGTTCCGATATTCCTGGCGGGAGTGTCCAGCTGTACGCACAGCTGCGTTGAAATCCTTGTAAATGTCCTTGGTTGTGGACACCATGAGAGCAATGGCCTAGGCTGGGGATTCCAGAGGGGACAAAGGGGACACAGGAGAGCCCTGCTTGTGCCATTGAGCCTCAACCTTCACCCAGGTCAGGGTGAAGAGAGGATTCAACTGGAACTCAGAGTGGCTGAGGTCCGGCAATGCCGCGATAATGGCAGGGCCGCAGCCCTGGTACTGGTCATTGAAGGAGTCCTGGGCCATGTCCTGGGATTGGAATTGGGTCCCCAGGGGGCTGGGAGATGTTGGAGAGGCATAATAACCCCAGGATTTGGGATCAGGGACACCAGACACGCCCAGGGGTCTGCTGGCCAGGAGTGCCTCCCTTCCCTCTGGGCTGGTGCCACTCCCCTGCCCAGTCCCTCATTAAGGAACCCTCCCCATGTCTCCTCTGTGTCCCCTCTTTGTCCCCCAGTTTCCCAGCCTGGTCCCTGTGGCCTCTCCTCTCCATGGCCCCGCTGGCTCAGACCCTGGCACTGCTGGCAATGGCCATGGCCAACACAACTGTCAATGTGATCCCCCTGGACATGGCCCCAGACTCCTTTGATGACCAGTACCGGGGCTGTGGCCCTGCCATGAAGGCGGCATTGCCGGCCCTCAACGGCTCCGAGTTTGAGCAGAACAATATTTTTGCCGAGGTTTGGGTAAAGGCTGCAGCCAAGGTGCAGAATCAGGGCCCCCCTGAGTCCCCTCTGTCCCCAGACCAGGCCACTGCCATCATGGCCTTTGCAACATATGATCTGTCCAGCATGTTCAGTGAGGCCGTGCTTGTGGCTGGGGGTTCCAGCCAGGAGTACCGAGACCACTTCCACTTCAAAACGCTGCATTTCCTGCTGACCGACGCCGTGGCCACGCTGAGGGATGCTCAGAATGGGCAGCGTCGGGACGTGTTCCTGAAGGTGTGCGACAGCTGGTTCGAGGCACAGCGTGGTGTGTATTTTTTGCAATACATGGGCAAAAGCAAGAAAAGGAGTGAGAAGTGTGGATACCCAAGATGAACGTGGATGGAATTCCTGGAGAAAGAGATAAAGGAACTCCAATGAGGGTCTTTTGCAAGTTCTGGACCAAAGAAGGAGCAGTGCCTGCAAAAAGCAGAAGTTGCAGGAAAGGTCATCTGGCATATTGGGGCACTCAGTGAAAACCTCACCCAGAAACCCCTTTGACTTTCCAGTACCAAAAAAGGACTTCCAGAAAGAGGCAGAACCATGCAAATTATTTCCAGAGAAAGTGATGTATCTGCATTAGCTAAGAAGTCCCTTCTAATGAATACTTGTAATTGTAGTGGATGAATACCCCTTGTCAAAGTCCTCCCTGACCTGCAGGACCAGGAGAGATCTGTAGTGAGTGCAAGCTGAGAAAGAATTCCGGTTTTCTGATACCTGCAGTTCCTTCAGGGAGTTCACTCTGGCTGATTTTGGTATCAGGGCCTGGGGGGACTCCAGGGGACACTTGGAGGGAGGGAGAGGGGACATTGACGTGGGGACTGGGGCCCTGGGGGGTACTGGGGGGACCCTGGGGGAGAATGCGATGTGGGGTTTGGAATCCTGGTGGAAGCTGGGGGACACTGGGGGACATGGGACTGGAGTTCACAGGGCTCTGGGGTACAGCAGAGGGGAACTGGGGGTGTGACTGCGGCCATGGGAGGGCTGGAGGACACTGCAGGGGGCAGGGGGTGATTCCTGCATTTGGGTTGGGGTCCTGGGGTGTATCGTTTCCAACACTCTTAAAAGGGACACCAGACTGGGAATGGGATTGGGGTCTGGGGGTGGACTGAGAGGGACAAATAGGGTGTCACCCCAGATTTGGGCTGGGGTCCTGGGGGGGCTGAGGGGACTCCAGGGGAATGGCTCAAAACTCTGGGAGTGGAATTAAGGTCTCTGGGACAACTGGAGGACACTGGAGCATTGAGGAGTGATCCCAGGATTTGGGATCAGGGTCCCAGGATATCTCCAGAGGTCTCCTGGCCAGGGCTGCCCTCGTCCCTGTGCTGACCCCCCTGTCCCTCTCC